GAAAAAAAATAATCTGTTCATGATTTAAACTTCTGATGATGAAAAATAATGGGATTAACATATACTAACAGCTAACCAGTCTGTGCAAATTTCTGGAAATATGTTCGACTTCTTTATTGTGTCTACTTTTCAAGAGACTTAATCTGCATTATTGTAATGCAAATTGCATGAAAAGTGAATTTTAACGAGTTCTTGGAGCTTTCACTGAGCTGCCTAGACGATAATGAGAGTATTGTTTTTGGTATTACTTGTGTTGTAGTATTTTCTGCATGAAAGCAATTACTGAAACAAAATGCCATTAAATATAAGAATTATAGACTGGAAGGAAGAGAGGTAATTTTAGTGGGGTTTTTTTTTGTTGTTGTTGTTGTTGTAGAGACATTAAAATGGAATTTTTAAATATTAAACACAGTTCATTATTTTACAGAGGCTGGTCAGAAACATCTTACAAATGGATACACTTACATATTCTCTCATTCCTTGCTTCTGACTGAAAGAATAGGAAAAGGTTTTCAGGCAAAGGTCTGTATCTGCAGCATTTTGTGATAGCGAACAGAAACCTGAACAGTGCTGGCATTTCTCTTCATTTCCAATTAATGGGCTGAAGGACTTACACATCCATGGAACTTGTTTCCATGTGTTTCCAAGTGGCTGTCTGCTGCATTTGCCAAGAGGCTGTTAGCTGGAGTACAGCCATGCCATGCAGAGCAGAGCAGGCAGACTCACTGTGCCTGCTTCCAGAGCCATGGGCAGCCGTGGCAGCAGTCACAGCAAACCCCAGCACCTTTGTGCACTCAGCGTGGTTTGTCACTGGGCTAACCGTCACACAGTTTGGTGAGCTGGCAGAGCTGGACCCCTGGCTGAGGAACAGGCTCAAAGGCTGCACCGAACACATGGTTACATGGTCTGCTTCTTATGTGAAACAATGAAAGTGCATGATGATGCTTAAAAGTACTCAAAGCATGCATTTTCAGCAATACCAACTTGCAACACTGTGCTGCCCACTCTGCAGCCTAAAACAGACTGTGTCACACAGGTATTGGTATATTTTATGGCTGTTACAGTTAGTCTTATATCCGTTGGCATCTTAAAAGACAGATAGTCTCTGTGAAACCTACTAGTCATCTATAAACAAGTAGCACTGATTACACACTTTCCTTTTAGATCCAAAAGAATGACTTAATTCCCAATGTTTACTTATTTTCAAGATATGCAACAAAGAAACGTGTTTGTGTAAAATGGAAAGAGCCTCCTTCAGGTTCTTATCTGCAATCATTCCTTTTTCTGCAATTTTGTATCCTTGAAGTTCACACTGCATGAAATTATGAATTTTATGTACATGCACTTTTATGCGTCCCAAAGATGTCACGTTTGTGAGTAGCTAACTGCATGAGACCACATATGGCTTTTCTCTAGCACTGCTGACTACTATCCCATCTTTGCCACAGGTTAGTTTTAGTGACATTTCTTTTATGATAGGCCTTATAATAGAGTGAAAATTAAATGCTACCTGTATTTTACAGGTCATATACCTAGTGCTTGCAGATCTTGAAACTGAGGTCCAGAGAACACAACTGCTCAAAAAAAAAAAAAATCTTTTTTTTTTTTTCCCCCTTAAAATGTGAAGTTAGTTGGCAAAAATGGTAGATTTTTCCAAAGTGCTGTGTGCTTCTTCAGATGCTTAAGTACTGTGACCCTAAGTGACTTGTTAGCCCTATACTTAAGGAGTATGCGAGTGAGGAAGGACTGGATGTATGGGATGTATGTATACTCACAGCTTTGTTCCAGAAGCAGCTGTACCTGTGGTACAGGATTTTAGTGTTTCCCTTCACATCACACATCTCACCCTTAATGCCTAGGGTGAGATCCTATGCGGGTTCACCTCAAAGAGTGGGCCATCGAAACTTCTGCTGTTGGCAACTCCTCAGCTGAAGAGGGCAAGCTCAGTATACCCCAAGTTCTCCCTTTGATTGCTGCCATCACTGGCAAGCACAGTGCCCAGTCAGCTTCTCTCGCTGCTTAGTTTTACTGTCAGGGACACAAGACATGAGAGGAGTGGGGTATTATAGTTATGAGTAGTAACATGTTAAAATAGCACACGCAAAACAACCTGGAAGCTCAGAAAAGCCCAGTTTCCCAGAAAGGTGCCTCAGCTTCAGGAAGCTTACAGCGGCCTTCTCCTTACATCAAGGGCCAGCAGCCACAGCCCCACAGGACCTCAGTAAAACAGGTTGCTTTTCATGCTTGTCCCTACCTTCCCACTGTCTCTGGCAGGTCTGATACTAAGCTGTACCACCACAGGTATACAGAAAACCACAGTATCACTGCAAGGCAATTACTTCAAGAAAATCATAGAGGGTTAATACAGCTTTCTTTACAAGTTTCACTTCCACAATTAATTCACTGCATTATAGTGCCCCAGATCTATAACGAGAGCCTGCTTCCACACATTTCATTACCAAATTATATATCAAGGATCACTAGACGTTCTTGACTGTACTTCCAGATGTCAGAGGTCAAGAAATTGATTAGAATAAGCCAACAGAGACACCAGCTACGTAAGCTATTGCAGTTTTCATGAACCTCCTAAAATCCTGTTGTGTTTTCAAGCCTAGCCCTGTGCCTCAGCCAGGATAACAGAGTTCCACAGTAAATAAACACCCCACATTTTACTACCCCACGGTCACCTTCAGAGGTGGAGCCAGAAACCAAGCAGAAATGCCATTCCACCACTGTACATGAGCCCATCCCATCTCATGCACAGAGACAGTCTTAATCTAAAGGAGAGCGGGCAGACAACTCCATACATCAGCCCCTATGACTGATCTTTTTCAATGTCACCTTCTCCCAAGCAGTAGTCTGGTTCCACTTCTATCACAATGCCCCAGCTTTGTTTCTAAGTTAGCTATGGCATGGCTGGTGCCTGAATGCCTTGCTGAGATCTGTCTGAAACCAGGTCATTTCACAGGTTTCCAGAGCCATGCAAGTACTCTTATCCTGCCTTCAGGGCTCTGCCAAGGCCCATGCAGTCAGCATCTAGCAGACAGCTGCCAACCAGTGGCTGTATGAAGACTGCTTCCTCAAGGGAGTAGAGGCGAGAGATTCACCAAGCACTAGTGTTTCTCCGTGTAGAGCACTTTGGAGTATCTATGCCTAGTATCTTCTGGAAGCACAGACCGTCTCTTCAGTTTCTCTGTTTGCTGGCAGGAATTAGCAGACAGCTTTCTGAGCAGTTCATCTGTGCTGTAACACAACTCTGATCACCAAAGTGCTCGTAAGCAACTGATGGACAACAACCTATGCTCCTTCATATTAACAGAAGAGTTTGATTACAGTCAAGTCACAGCTAATTCCTCTACAGCTGCAAAGCCTCTATGTTCTCCTTCACACACTGTTTTCCTTTAAAGCACTAATCCTTTAACGTTCCTGCATAAAAGTTTTCTGCTTACATTTAAAGCAAGTCACAATTTTGCAGTCATCATAGATTGTTCAATTATTTTGCTCAATAAAATAAGAATATGTGACTGATGAAGATTGCATTTTAATCCTAAAGGACACGTTACATTATTGACTATGTTATAATATAGAAAGCCATAAGGGCTGAATAAATCTATTTTCATTGTTATAACATGCCTACATTTTATATTGTTTTTGAGTAGCAGAGCACGTTTTTAGAAATATTTTGTACATGCATTTTCACTAAGAGCAAAGCTGGTACCGTATGTGTCATTTCCCTGGTATTTCTAGGCAGAGGAGCTAGCTTTCCTGAACTGATGCAAGTAAAATAAAGGTTTGGGTCAATTGCATTCCTTCTTATAAAATGCCACAGTGGTAAAAGCATTTCACAAGCCTTCTCAAAGGAAGGTCTGCAACCCACACATCTCCTTCTGGAAATGAAAACACATCACCTCAGTGGAAGAAGGATTTCTG